ACAGAAAAAAAAAGCAGAATGAAGGAAAACGAAACAAAATACTCACAAGAACCCTGCCGTTCCTGCTCTCCTCCTTCTCCTTCTCCCGACAGCTGCTGCGATTGGTGATCCAACGGCGACGACGACGATTGATGATGGTAAGGCGGTCCCTCGTTCACGAACTGCAACCTCCCGGCCCTCTCGCTCTCCTTCTCTTCCCTCCAGTACTCCTCAAAGCCAGCTCGACTGTCGCCGCTCGTTGACCTGTCATATTGCTGCCGTTGCTGGTGCTGGCCTTGGTGTTGGTTGAGGTGCTGCTGCTGCTGCTGCCCCTCCCCCGCCCTCACCGAAGCCTCGTTCTGCAGCCGCACCTGATTGTCCGCCATAACCGCGATACACGCCGTGAAGTTCAATTGGGATAAGCTGGGTGCTGAACTTCACCGCCAGCGATGGGGTGTGGTGTCGGTCGGTGTCCTGTGGTAGGTTGGTGAGATGTGGGTGAGTGCGATCGTGAGTGAGTTGAGTGATGAGATGAGAGATGAGATGAGCGGGGTGACGTTGGCGTCGACGACTTCCCGATGGATCGCTCACAAAAAAATGTCGTCACGTTTTTTTTTCTCTCTTTTGTTTGCAGGTAAATATCCCCTCATTCGGAGCGGAGTTTCAAAACTACAGGAAGGGGAGTGCGTGAGGGGATTTCGCCGGCCTTAAAGATGGGCGAATTCCAAATTCCCTTTGGGGCCTTTTTCTTTTCTTCTGCCCGTCCTCGGGGGTAAGAGAGGAGACCCTCATTCTCCTCCTCAATCAGCGCACCTCCGCAGCTCTTTACCTAAGGTAGGAGAAAATGGCCCGGAGAATGGAGGAGATAGAGGGCCATAAAGAGGCGCCAGAGCAGCTAAACTTTCCATTGGCAGGGACGGACCATCAGAGCACCCAGCGTACAGCACAGCACAGCACAGCACAACACAAGAAACCGCCCCCCCTCTCTCACTCTCACACAGGGATTCTGGGTGGCATGGCGGCACAGTGGCATGTCAAAGGGAACTAGCCGACAGGCCGGAGGAAGAGGGAAGCGAGGAGAGGGACGGCGCTTATCCAATTGAAGGACAAGTGAGCCGATCACCTCACGTGCCTGGCGCCTAACACCGTACCATCCGTACCAAGAGGAGGCAGTGTCACCTCAGCTGCAATCTCGATAGAATCTAAGAATTTGAGTTACCTTGATAAGATCTTACTAAGGTACTGGGACTGTGGACATCCCTTTCCGTCTCTTTTCAAATCAGATTCAAAATGGTGCGACGATTTGTCACTGGCTGAGGTGGCATAGAGAAATGAAGGAATGGCAGCGGCTGAGAGGCCGAAGGCTGAGAAACAAGTCTTGACAATGATTTGGATTTCATTATACTGCAGCGACCTTGTTATGGTTGACAAAAGCTAGGTATCTCTTCCCCGTCTTTCTCACATCCACTAATCGTAGAGCGGTTCAGAAATTTTGCTTCTTCAACATCTTCGACATGGTCTGCTTCCAGAAATATTTCCACCACTCTCCAACGTCTCAAATCTCTTCGTCGTCTTCTCCACGCCCAAACGCCTTGCGGAAATCATGTAATCAATGCCAAATTGGCCCAGATTCGCTTTTACTTTTTGTGTGACCGCCCAACGCCGTATGAATGCATTTTGATCCGCCTCCTCTCACAGGATGCGCTTCAATCGTCGTCTTCGTCCTCACTGGCGGTAGCAGTGTCCTCCTCAACGTCCGTCTCTGGAACGTTTTCGTCATCGTCGTCTTCACTGTCGCTGTCGGCCGTCATATTGAGACCCGGGATAGCCTGGTACTGCACGTAATCGTTTTGAACCCATCGCTTGCTGACGGGCAGCTGGTAAGGGTCGAACGGGAAATAGGGGTCGAGTTGGTATGCTTCCTCGTCTTGCGCTCCTGAGCCCGTATCTCGGAGTGCGCCGCCTGTGCCGTAGGTATCTGACACGAATTGTGACAGTCTGATCCGCTTGTTCTCCTCGACACGTGGGAAGATGTACATAAGACCCAGCTTGTGTGATAGTGTCGCAAACTCCTCAACGATGGCCGGGGCGCAGATTTTGAGAGGGTTCATCTTGCAGTATACGCTGGCAGAAAGTTCTTCTCTCATCCCTTGCATCCACTCCAGCTCGTGACCGAGATATGATGCGGGGTCCTCTGGGTCGACAAACTCGGGCGTAGACACGATCAAGTCGCGCCAGCGGAAACAGAACATGTACAGCGCGGCCTGTACTTGTGCGTAGTAGATCTGGTGTCTTCTCAGATCCGGTCCTCGGGCGTCCGCGTCATGCTTGAGGCGGTAAATTTGCATCTGCTTGAGCAAGAGCGCAAACACTGTGCGCACCAAGTCGGACGGCACGTGGGCCCCTCGCGCCATGAATCCGGCTAGGTATGTTGCCGCCGCTTGGCGCACGAAGCTTGGTCGGTTTTGCGAACCAAAGATGTGCATCAGACTGCCGACAAAGGTGTCGCGCAGGCGAGCTGACATTTGACCAAAGTGGAAAAGAAGGAACTGGGTATGACGGGACTTGTACGTTGGCAGCACGATTTTTCCAAATGACTGTACGAGCAAGGCATATCGCTCCCAAGCTTGATCCGAGTCGGGGTTTTCAAAGAGGGGCGTGTAGTGGGCGAACAGCGTATCGAGGATAGCATCCAGCTTTTCAACATTGCCCTTGACCACGCGAATCTTTTCTTCCTTGTCATCAAAGTCTGAATCATCGCTATCGACGGACTCGTCGTCGCTGTCCTCGTCCGAAGCATCCTCATCGCCCTCCCACGAGCCGGTGTCCAATGACTTGCTGAGCGCGTAGGCAACTGATGCCGTAAGGTCATCGTCGAGGTCGTCGAGATCCGTCTGCATCTGGACATCAATCTTAACCAGCCGTGACAGCAGCACGTCGACAATTTCGAGGTCCAGATCCCCGGCGTATTCCTTCAACCTCAAAAGGTTGTTGACGTAGGCAACGAACATTTTCTTCGGGTCGTCGTCGAAGGGGAATTTGGTTTCGAGGAGGCCGCGGAGAACGGGTGTGGCGGCGGGGAACATTTGAAGAATGTACTGGAGGCCGGTGTGTAGCCTTTCGCGCATCGTTGTGCGGCTGACGGTTGGGAAGTCGGCGACGCTCCACTCAGATTGTCTGGAGTGGGAGAACTTTTCGACAATCATGGACAAGACATGCGTCAGGTAGGATCCCTGGGCACTGACAAGGGCGGCCAGGAACTGGATGTACACCTTGAAGAAGTCCTCGTCGCGGCCCAACCACGAGACCTGCAAGACCGTCTTCACGAGACCATTGCATGCCTTGTTCTTCAGTAGCGGCACGCAGCTGGTCAGCGCCAGAACGTAGCCCTTGAGCTCCTGGGGCTTTAGCGTATCCTCGTCTTCTCCGGCGACGGGTGGCAGGTATCGCTGCTTGTCGTTGGCGAAAATCTCCTTGAGCATGTCGTAGTCCTCATCCTCGCCCATGAGGTGCTCCTCCAGTGCTTTCCTCACTTCCGAGTTTACCTCGTCCATCGAGCGGCTGCCAAACTCGAAGACGCGGTTGTTCATCTCGTTGATGAGGACTTTCCGCCTCTTTGTTGGGCTCGAGGGCGGGTTATCGAACTCGATTTCGTCAGCTTTCCTCCGGCCGAGGACTGTCGTTTGACGCAAGATGCTTTTGATGGGCGTCGCCGTTCTCGGTGGTGGACCAGACCGGTGTCTGGAGATGGGGGTGAAAGGACGCATGAGAATGGGTCGGTTGTGGTGGTCGAGGCCCTGTGCTCTCGCCTTCGTCTTTTCTCTCTTTCTTTTGGCGGCTCGGGCTCGAGGTCAGATCTTCACAGTGGTCGGCGGCTGGCAATTATCATTGAAGGGTCAACGTGTGGCGCGAGGATCTGCAGGGAAAGTCGTTATGCATGTCTCGGTCTCTTGCGACAATGTGGACTTGTGTCGAATTACTGTCCTTAAAAGAACGTGTTGGTTTCTGGGCGTGGTTGTGTCGGCCGACCGAAATTATTTCGTGGTACGGTGGCGGTTGGTTGCCTGGTAAAGTTTCTAGTTCGGCGTGAGCTGCCGCCGACGCTTTTTTTCGTCGAGTGGGCTGCCCGCCGTTCTGTTTGGCTGTGAAGGGGGGAAAATTTTGAGACTGGAGGGGCTGCGCACGTGCCTCGTTCGTCCTGGACTTGGGCTGGTGGGCTGCCCCAGGCTCATTCTTTCACAGCACTAAAGACCCCTGGAATTGGTCTGGACCGTGCACTCTCGGTAATGGAACAATGAGCTTGATGGAATCTGAGTGGCGGCCAAGATACTGGGGAACCTTGAAGACTATGACGACGTCCTTTGGGCTTCTTATTGGATGTCTTTTTCAAGATACCTTGGATACCTAGGATACCTACTTTACACACCTCACGGTATGAAGAAACTGGATGATTAAGGTAGCCAATAGCCTAAACACGCTGCACCAGATCAGACATGAGATGACAACGGAGTCCATGTGCCTCGTTCGTTTGCGCGACGGAAGTGGAATAACAAGCTATCTGAAGTGCTGTAGCTACCAGTGCTTTGGAGATACGGCCCGGGTCCGTTTCCAAAAGCTTCGATGCTTGCTGAACTGCTCTCTGCCGATGCCTCGAAACCACTAATTGGTTGAGCATGGCTTACTGAATCGCAACGCCATTGGGGGGAATCTATCAAATAGACAATGAGTCAAAGAAAAGACGAACCCCCTCCACTCCACACTTTTGGGTTAACCGTTCCGCTCCCCTTCCCATAACTGGCTCCTGAGGCCCTCATATACAACCATGTGCCCCGTTCCATCCACGGCCAGGTAGTCTGAGACGCCCTGCCACCGTACTTATACAGACTTGAACAAATGTCCAGGTGTCCTTCAGCGTCGGGCTTGGTCGTCGTCAAGTCGCAACTAGTACATATATGTCAAGATGGAAGAAAAAAAAATCGCCCTTTCAAAACACTATCCAGCCGGTTCAGGTGTGAATCATATTACTGGTAGCCGTCGGCGCCGCCGGTACCATTGTGCCCCGTTTGCGCGCCGTACATGTAACCCTGAGCGTCGGCGGTGCCATCTCCTTGCTGGCCTCCGAGGACGCTGTTCTGTGGCTCGGCTTGGAAGCTCCCCGCTCCGGTTGGCGGGTTGGCGCCGTAGCCGCTGCTTCCTGGGCGGTGCGAGGTCTCTCCCCTGTTGGACTGGGATTGCTGCTGGAATCGTCAGTTGAGCTCATTCGTCCTGTTTAGAGGATGATGCCGGCAGAATTTCGAGCCGATATATGGACAATACATACTTCTCTGTATTTCGAGAGGTAGATCTTGAGGGCCTCTGCGTAATTCTCGAATCCCAAAGAAGTCATGGCGAATAGAATGTCTTCTCCGTTAACCGTCTTTCTCTTCTCCTGATGACACTTCTCTGAGGCTGTGATAGGTCAGATATCTGCTCAGTCACGTTGCCCCTAGACCGAGAGAGAGCAGCTCTAAGGGATTGTACTTGCCTTCACTCGTAATGAAGGAGATGAACTCGCTGACGCATTCCTGCATGCATTCTTTCGCTTCCTTGGCGATCTTTGCGTTTTCAGGGAGCGCATTCTTCATGATGCGGGCGACTGGAGCAAAGTTTCGTATATTAGCGTCAAGTTCATCGTACTTCTCACCGCCAGAAGCACCTGTTGTCTCTGGAGACTTTGGTGACGATTCGTGAGACATTGGTTCCTTCTAGTCCTTCGCTGCCGTCTTTGGTGATGCTTTGTTTAGATGATCCGTAACCACGTCAAGGACCGGCGAGTGGAAGCGGAGAGCGAGCAAGGCGACTGGCCAATCCAGTTCATAGACCATAGTCATAACAACCGCAAGCAAACACAGAGTCTCAGGTCAAGCATCGTCGTCGTTGTCGTCGCCGTCTTCTCGAATTCGTTGGGGAAGGGGATCTAGCTTACCATTGGCTATGGGCAACCAGCGGTCCTGCTCCTTGACCTCGAACTCATAGGTGAGTCCACCGGACTGTGGGTCTTGAGCCTCGTTCATTTGTTCCTCTTCCGGTGATTGTACACCTTGGTCGACATCCTTGGGAGGAGATTGGGGGGAGTCCGACATATTTGGCTACCTGCAGCGGCTGCTGGCGTTCTTGTAATTTGCTTGGGCTATTGCAGCTCGCACACACGACGGGCTTAGGATGATGTGTTCCCTGACACGTTGCAGGTCCGTAGGGCTTGCAAGTCTGGCGGCTTAGCTGCAGAAAGTATGCGTCAATCCTGTCCTGGGCTGTCCTGGAAAGGATTATTTTTACTCGCGATCCCCTGGCAGGCCCTGTCTTGACTTCAGGCTATGACGGATCGTCCTGGGGTGGCCTGTATGCTGCCTTGCCCGGGTTGAGTTTGGCAACAGAGACTTGGAAAAAAGCGGGATGAGGGTGGCTGCGTTTGCGGGTCCCACAGGAATGGCCAACGTCTAGTCCAAGGGGAGGGTAGCGTCGAACTGGCAAATACGTTTCTCGATCGCCCTGCTGCAACTGTGGATATGCGCGGTCCTCCGGGTTGGTGCTCGAAGCTCGGCGCGGGTTTGACCTGTAAGGCGGAAGGTAGATGGGGTTTGCGAGTCGCGATGGGGGTGGGTGAAGTTGGGTCGAATCAGGTATCCCCAAGGCGAAGGGAGGTAAGGTACTGGTGTGAGCTTTTCGGGGCGGAGGTGCGGAGCCCTGCGTCGAGGAGGCGCGTGGGCAGCCGGGACTTTGCTAGTACAGTACGGATTTTCGCGTGTCGTTGAGACTTTTGGCCAAGCTTTGGGCGCGCAAAGAATCGACCTATGGTTACACACCGGTCGACCGGACGGGAAAGCCGTGATAGGGGAATCAAAAGGTAACAGCTGCAGAAGCGCGTCAGAGAAAAGCTTCGCTTGACCCGAACGGGACAGAAAGAGAGAGAGAGAGAGAGAGGGACGGGAAACGGGGCGTGAGACGAGTGGGAAGAGGCCGAACAGTGAAGAACCTAAGCACTCAACGCGCGCGTTGTGTGTGGTTGTGTGCCTGTGCTTGTGTGGTTGGGGGGAAACATGGGAGAGGGGCCAGCAAGTGCCGTCGACAAGGGGTTGTAGAATTCTTTTCCTTACATGAATTTGGGGTGTCTGAGTTGTTCGATCGAGGTCGCAATAGAACCTAACGATGCGCCTTGAATGGAGGATACACCTATACTTGTTGATGGCTGCAAGAACGTGGGGTTGGTGCAGAAGGGAGAAATGGAGGGAAAGTGGGCAATGAAGGTGCGGTCAACAAGAGGCCGGCGCATTAAACACAATAACAAGGCCAAAGTCCCTCAAAGTCGCGCTGCCCACCAGTGGTTTTATCGATAACGTGGTAGATACTTTGGATGATATGCGTCCCCCACCATGTTTGCAAGTACCTGTTAGCTCCATGTCGTCCTCCAAGGTTTAGCGCGGTACCTTGATCCCCCATCCATCTGATCCTTTCCCCTAACACCACGCGGCTGAGGGGATGCGCTCTGAACCTGGAAGCTGCGACTGCTTTTCGCATACTCCATTTTTTTTTTAAACCAAGCTCATGCGCTCGGATGTCAGTTTGGGCGTCTGTCAGTCTGACGACATCTTCGACCCTGCAAAACCCCCCGTCAGACCACGAGGCAGAAGAAGCATCCGAGATCAAAGATCAAAACTACCCTCCGGAAGCTAGAAACCCGTCGTCTAACAGCACCACCATGGAATCGGCGAAAGGTACAAGAAATGCAGCTTTTATTTACCTCTCCCATCCCTTCTGACACTCCTGTCTGGCAAAGTTTGATGTGTCATTGCATGCATTCATGCTGTATCAACACGGACGCTGGTCATCCTGCCCGTCCTCCCGTATATGAGCGGTGTACAGATGGGCTGCGCAAAGCCACTTCACTAAGCTCAGAGGAGGGTAGCAAGCACGGCTACCTTGCCTTTCACCGGCCCATGGCGGACGCCAAGCAGGTGCATGAAGCACAACCGACATGACGGGACGGATGTATGATGTGAGCTTCTGTTCTTGTAAGTCTGCTGATGATACCTTTGATCTTGAGGTGGGGAAACCAAAGACGTCCGCTTAAGAGCATCGGTAAGCTCTATCGCGCGGGCCCATGCCCATCGCCCTCAACAGGCGTCATCAAAAGAAAGATGCAGCTGGCGCAATACGATGATTACTTATACCGATGTGGATTCCTCGGCCGTGCGACTTGTGGCAGTTTGGGTAGCTCATCCGTTGCGACAAGACCGAATTGGAGGGCGAGGGCGCCGGCTGATTTGACAATGGCACCGTCTGGAGTAAACAAGCCGTCGAACCTGTCAGCTGTCTTTCTCAACGTCGCCCCCAACCAGACTGTGTCAGGCACGAGAAGGCTGACGGCAGCCTAAGCAAGCGCCCTGAATGACGACTGCTTGGGCCGAAACGTGCACCTTGGTTGGCTCGTACAGCTACTTGCCTCTTCAGGCACGATAACTCTGGAGAGGAGCCTATTGAATGGGCCATTTGAGATACACGCACACAAGGCTGCGCAACATCACGTCCAATGATGTGTCATTAGCTCTAAACAGAGACGAGAGAGAGCCCGAGTTGACCTTGGATGCCCTGGGTACACCAGCCAGGCGTGCGACTCAACCAACACCTTTTGGGAGGAAGAAAGTCGCGGAGAAATTCTTCCAATCTGTCTCAAGGAGGCGCCGGTCACCAATCGGCGGCCCATCGCCTTACAGTACGCCCGACCCTGCATGCAGCGCTGCAACAGACAACCGCCAACTCAGCCAGTCACCCTCATCAGAGTTGGGCTCCTCTGCTCTGTCGGGAGCCAATAACCCTTTATTTGGATTGGGCTCGGATTGGACGATGCCTGCCGCAACAAAAAGAAGGACCACCACCAAAAATTCCTGCGATGCAGCGATGCGCTGACCTTCCACTCTTGTTTTCCACGACCCTGGTCCGGATGATGCGGTTCCTACCCCTCCTTTTCCCACTCATCATAGCGAGAGGGGTACGCAGTATGTATACCGTATCAGTATCCGTTCGCACTTCGGCCTTCCCTCGCCGTTGCGGGTGATTTCATGTCACAGGCGAAAGGGTTGCATGTGTTGGCTGCGCTCCTTCTCACCCCAGAGCTGGTGACAACTCAGAGCCACATTTTGTGTTGACCCTGGTCTCTTACAGCAGCGCCGAGGGGCACCGGTCTGGTCTCTCTGCGTGAGCCATCAAGCTGTTTAACTGCCCGACACCAGCATCGGGGAACCGGGCAATGTCGTCGCTGTGCCAATTTCGACTGTCAAGTCCTGCGCCCTGTCTACAACTCAAGATGACCCTTTCTCGACATCATCAGAGGCCTAGGTACGGCCATGCATGACTAGGTCTAGGCGGTCGTCAATAACCCACTGCCTGTGTCCGCGACCATGTCCGTATTGGGTAGTCCATGATGTCGCTAACCCACTTACTGAATGCGATTTCGTACTTGTACCTACAGGATGCATGCAACTATGAGGAAACTCCATGGAAGAGCGAGGCGGATCTAGACCACTGGTTGCCTCCCGCATCTACTTAGTCCGCGGCTGACCACGGATCAGGACCAAATCGTGCCGCTCGTTGGGCATCAGCTCGAGCAAGCATGATATCACGGCTGTAAGAACCCTCAGAACGGGAACATCAGTCGATCACCGCAGACCTCACGTTTCATCCCTTGGCACTTTACGAATCGGATGACCGCCCTCTGCCCATTAGACAGAAAGGCTCCATATACGCACACGCGGGACAGCTTCTGACGTCTGGCCAGGCTCCAACCCGTCGCCGGCCACCATGGGCCGGTCCGCCTCCGCTCCGTGTGCCTTCTCTCCCGAGTGGAAGACAAATTCTATGTGTTTAGCGTCACTTTTTCAAAAGAAACGATGTGAGCTAATAGGTAGGCATTGGTCTCGTAGCCCCGAAAAAAAGAGGAGGCTTTCAGACGCGAGTGAACTGCCGTAAGGTTGTCAGAGGCCGCGCGCAGCACACCTTTTCGTCACTAGGCCGCATGACAGGCAGCCAGTAAGCACGCCTCGCCAGTTGGGTCGATCTCAGCCAGCCATCTATCTTGAATCGCCAGACGTGCCAATGGACTTTTCTCAGTGGTGTGCTAGTCTGACGACCTTTGCAAGTACGATCTCGTTGGGCACTGAAACGCGGTTACCGCCGTTATCTCTATTGCTTCTGATGTCTCACAAGTCTACGACGCTGAACAACGCATTGCTGTCACTGCGTGGTCTTCATGTCTCTACTTTCCTGAGATTGAGACGTATTGCTGAGTTGGCTTCCTCCCTCATCGTAACATTAACCCATGGGTATACTCGATGCCGCCTCATTTTGGACGCCTGTGATATTCGTATGACCGCTTTGCTGTCCCTTGTGCCCTTCTCTGTGCTGGCTGCACCTGGAACGCTTGATCGAGGATAGACGACGAAGAAGTCGTCTTTTCCCCTAGTCCAAATCACTCGATCCAAGGGTTGTTGTAGAGCAAACAGACCGAAAGGCCGTCGTCTGTATAGGCACCAAGACCCTCGAAGCCAACGTCACCGACCAGCATTAAGGTGTCCTAAACCCAATGTTCCTAAATCTCAGTTCTGGACAACCTGAACATTGTTCTTCTTCTGTCAAATTCCAAAACCGTTAGTAAACCTAATGACCTCATGGTAGAGAGAAGAAAAAAAGGAGCGTTCTCTTCAATCCAAAACGAACCTTCCAATTCTCCAGCTCGTCCTGTTTAGCCTTGTATTGCTTCACAAGGTCTTCCAGGACCTTCTTCAGACCTTCCGAGTTGGTCGTCAGGGCGGGCATGACGTCCTTGACCGTCTGCTCCATGAGGACCCCGTTGATGAGGCGGAAGCACTTCCGGTCCTCGGACAGCGGTTGCAGGGTCTCTAGGACAAGCCTGTGTAAAACGAGTCAAGGTCAGATGAAGAATGGTTCATGATTCATAATAGGCGGTGTGCCAGGGAGAGAGGGAGCGAGAGGGGAAGGGGTGGAGGGTTCATCAAGGGTTGCCATTTGAGTTTCTGAAGGAATGAAGAGTGAAGAGCGGTGTGATGAGGTCGAAGAAGTAGTGACGGCCATGCCGGAGTGAGTTCCGGTTTGAGGGTGAGAAGGGGAGGAAGAAATCCATCATGTGCCTATTACCCCCCCCCCCCCTCCTCCCCCCTTCCTTGAGAGGCGCAGGGTTCACGATCTCATCCGGGATATGGGTGATGACCTTGCTCTGTCTCTCAAGGTTGCGCCGCCGCCATGCGAGAATGGGATGAAGTGAAGATGAGGAAGACGAAAGGGGAAGATAGAGGGAGAAACGCACTTGTGTTCTTCGGCTTCTTGCTCTACATCGCCAATCTTTTGCGCAATCTGTTGCAGAGTGTTCTTGTAGACGCCGTACTGCGTTTGCAGGTCTTGGAAAAAAGCAGGTTAGCATGGCGGGGCTATTCTTCCAAAGAGTAACATCTCATGTTTACCCCTCGACGGTCGGGAGGAGAAATGGTGAGTGAGTCAACTAACCTTGCTGCTTCTTCTGACTTACTTGGGCCGCCATGGTGAGGTCAAGCTTTGTGAGAGGTGAATAGCAGGGTTTGAAGGGACCTCGTTGAAGAAAGTAAGGTACGATGCAGGGCTATGAGTATCAGTGAGGGAGCAAACAAACAAGCCTGAAGTAATCGACCCGTCCCCTCCACCACCGCGCACGAGCAGTGACCAACTGTGGCATGGAAGTTCTAGAAGGGCATTCAATGTGGCCCGAGCTTTTGCCGCGCTCTCTACGAATACTCCGTTCCTTATTACTGAGTGATCTGACTGACTGAGGCCACCCCGAAAATGCACAAAGCCCGGCGCGCTGTCTGCTGCGTCTGCTGCCCCACCGAGCCAAAGTGGTCTTATCCAATCCCTCGCAGGCCAATTCCCAATCTTTTATCGCATAGGAAACTTACCGGGAATTTACTCTGGCGCATCTACAAATCACAAGGCAAACCCCGACGACGAACAAACTCTTTCTCTCACGACAGATTTGCCAACTTCTCCCTTATCTTTCCCAATAGCATAGGCAACCCTCGCACCGAATCAAAAATGCATCCTCACCTACACACCAAGGACAACTTCGGTAAGTCACCAACAAATGCACCCGTCATGATTCCCATCCACGCCCCTCCTCCCTCTCCCCTTGGGTTCATTCAAACCCTGTCGCATGGCCACAACCTCCCCACCCCTTCCCCCTCGATCTCGCACTGAATATGAGAAACGTTCATATTGACTGACTGCTTTTCCCCGCAAAACAGAGTGCGAAGACATCATGGTCGCCCTCGAAGAGTGTCACGCAAAGGGCTTCATGTTCAAGTCCCTCGGCGGCTGCAACGATGCAAAGGACAAGGTCAGCGAGTGCCTCCGCGGCGCGCGTGCGAGGCGTACCGAGGCCAACCGGGCTGCTGCGAGGGCCAAGAGGGAGGAGCGCGAGAACCGGATAAAGGAGCTCAACAAGTCGCTCGGTCTCGATTAGACTGCGGAAACCCCCATCCATGAAGCGAAAAGAGCGAAAGAAACCTTTGGTCCACTAGGTTTCGAGACGAACGACGGGGCCAGATTGGGCATTGTATTATATCACGAACACTCGCAACTACATCGATTTTGGCGACGGCATTTGTTTCGGGACGGAATACCAAAATAACATGAGCGATCCAATGGTTTGGGCGTCCTTTAAGGGAGCAAGAGATTGTACCATAGATTGTACTCGATCGAAGTTCTCACCTCGGCGGGAGAAGAAAAAAGACAGCAACATTCTTGAATAATTCGTGTTCCTATAGTACGAAGCTGGTGCAAGCAACACCCGTACTCTTTTCGTCCAATAATCCTACAACTCCTCTCGGACACACACACACTCTCTCCCTCTTTACAAAGTGCGACGGAACTCATTACCAAAGGTGAAGAGACCAAAGACGGACAGCACACTGAGGAGGATCGGCACGGGCTTGCGGAGGCGGATGGCACGGGGGATGGCGGAGCCACCGAGGACCGCCGAGGCGAGCAGACTCAGCTCGACGCCGTAGGGCTCGCGGTTCTGGATGCGGTAGCCGCCGAGGCCGTCTACGTGGGGTTCGGAGTTCAGGTCAGTCCACTGTAGTTGCGAAACCTACTTATGCGACAACGCGTGGGGTGGGGAATGCTGGGAAGCGGAAGGGGTGGATGGATGTTGAGAGATGGAAAGAGGAAAACGGCGCGAGGGATTTGTACGTACAGAGAAGGCCGACGCTGACACCGGCGACGATGGACGGGACGGACTTTGTCCGGGCGTAGCCGGCGATGCCGCCTCCGGCCGTCAGTACGGCCAGGGCGAAGGAGGGGACGGAGAGGTCAGAGGACTGCGCATGTGTCTTTTGTTAGCTTTGTGTTCTTGTGAGAGAGACAGGTCATTGTACCATTTTGAAGTGTTTTGTTTGTGAGAAATTACTAGGAACACAAATTCAATCGTTGTCGGATTGTGACTGAGATGAATTGAATTGAGAAGTAATAGTTCCTTGGTGAGCAGAGGTGAGGAAGTTCCGTTGTTTGCTTGCTGCGGTGCCTCGGGAAGTCCAAGCTTCGGCCGCCCACCCACTCAAAAAGGAACAGCTTATGGGAAAGCTGCTGGATGATCTCATCCATTCCCGGGACACTGACTAATCACGACATTTCCCAGGGGCACGCCGCAAGCACCGGGAGTCGTCAGGGACCACTGGACTGCTACCCCAGATTCGTGGCTTGGCAACGCTCTTGTCCAGGGGTACAAGGACACACCAGCCACATCTATCACCTGACGCCCTGTGGCTTCAAGCTTTCGTGTCCTCCAGAGCTCCCCCCAGCTCTCAATTGTACCAGTGACCGCAGTACGTACGCAGCAATCGAGACAATCTAGGAGACACTTCCTCAACTTTTCGGTCCACCACCCACCCGATCTCACGATACCCCCGAAATTTCTTCTCTAACCGCCATACCAATCCCCTGCCCCCGACCTCCGACGTGCGAAATTACAACAATGGCGCCCAAGCGAACCGCCTCCTCCCAAAAAGCTGCTGCTGCCGCTGCCGCTCCCGCAGTCCACCACCCCGAGCCGCCCACCTCACCCGCGGGACCGACCGCCGCCGCCGCGATCCCGGGCACAATGACCTCGCAGCCCAAGGCCGTACCCATCACCATGACCCCCAAGAGCACCGGCAGTGGCGCCCAGAACTGGGACCAGGTCCTGGCCAACATTTACAACCACTACGTCAAGAGCACGCCCCAGCGCACCAAGCTGATTGATGTCTTCATGGCCTTTTTGGTCGTTGTTGGCGCCCTGCAGTTCTTGTACTGCGTTGTTGCTGGAAACTACGTATGTCTCTTTGTTCTTATATCTTGCCCTCTCAATCAGCTCGGATGGGGATTGTTCGTTCAGCTGTAGCTTGAGGAAGGAACCTTGGAGGATCAGCATATGGAAATCTACAGAGGAGCAATCGCTAACGTCCTGGTGCCAAACAGCCCTTCAACGCCTTCCTCTCTGGTTTCTCTGCCACCGTCGGCCAATTCGTCCTCACTGGTAAGACACAATCAAAGCAATACGGTTTACAATGGCTAACAATAGTCCTCTAGCATCCTTGCGCATCCAGACCACCGAGGCCAACAAGTCCGACTTCCCCTCTGTATCACCCGAGAGGTATGCTAGCTCTTCCAAATCCTGTGCGAATATTGGACTACGACTACAGAAACTAATACTACAATCACAGAGCTTTCGCCGACTACGTCGCATGCAGTCTGATCCTGCACTTCTTCTGCGTCAACTTCATAAACTAAGAGCACTTACCAGACGAAAGGAACAGGAGAGAAGGTTCTTGTCTTGCAGTCAGGACAAGAAAAGGGGGTGCAGGTCCTCAAGGCCAAAGATTGAGGTTCGATGTGGGGGTGGATAGACCAATTGGTGGTGAAGCATCAAAGCTACAATACCACAATCGCATGAGCATGCGGAACGAACAAAGCAATGTACATTATTTGAGCAGGCGTTGCATCACAGCAAGGTAGATGTCAAAGAGAAGAAAAAAAAGTGCAATTCTGGGAATCATCATGACAGCGGACTCCAAAATTCTAGTTCTATAATCCTGACACCCACCCATCGACCTCAGCTTTCCACCCCCCTCTCTATCACTCAGCACCCTCGGCCGCAGGCTGGTCCTTCGGTGGTCCCGTCGAACCAGCTCTCGGCGGCGGCGGCGGTCCCCCCATCTTCGGAGGCGGCGCAACAGGCGTACCCCTCCCGCTGGGCGCATTGTCCGCCTCCCTGCTCTTCTTTTCCTCCTCCTTAAAGTAATCATCCATAAAGTTATTGTTCCCGCCGTGGTGCCTCTCCTTCTTCTTCCTCGTCGTCGCCGTGCCCGCAGGAGGCGGCGCCGCCGCGGCGCCCGCATCCACCATTTGCGCAGGGACCAGGAAGTCGCCCCCTGTCGGAGGAGGAGGAGGTGCGCCGAGACCAGGCGTGGCGGGCGTAAAGAGATTCTGCTGCACCTCGCCGACGGGTCCCGCGTTCCCGTACAGCGCGGCGGCCGGGTCCTTCTCCCCGCCAGCATCGAACATCATCTCGCCCGGCGCGTCGACAGGCTCGTTCAGCGGCGCAGGCAACCTGTGCAGCGCACCGTACCCCAGCACGCACCCCAGCGCGCCTTCGCCACCCCACTCGCGCGTCGGCTGAATCGTCACTTCGCGCGTGACGTCGTACTCGTTGTTGTACACGTACAGGCGCAACGGCCGGCCAATGTGGTCCTCGACGAGCTCGCTCAGCCCGCCCTCGCCGTGGAGGGCGCCCTCGGGGCTGCCGAGGATGTAGTCGCCGTAGGGGAGGAGGCCTGCGCCGTCGGCGGGAGAGTTTGCCGCGACGTCGAGGACGTGCCAGATGTTGGCGGCGACGGCGAGGGGGGTCCACTGCAGGGAGAGGCCTAGAGACGCGGTGTCGTGGGGGACGAGGGCGTGGAGCTCGCGGGTGCGTTGACCCTTTGCGGACCAGAGGCCTAGGGAGACGGAGCCGCCTGCGCAGTTGCGGACTTCTTGGGCGAAGAGGCTTGGGTCAGGGTTGTCCTGGCGAGGAGGGGCTTTGTCAGTAAGTTACCTTTAGAACGGGGGGTCACTATGGAAATCACAGAGTACGTACGATGGGCCGGCCGTTAATACCAATGATGAAGTCAAACCAAGGCTCGACGTTGAGTTCGAGGTTCGTGTTGCGGAGCACCTGGAAACCGAAGGAGCCCTGGTTGTTCTGCTGAGTTGGTTGCTGCCCGTCCAGGCGGGACATGAAGCGGTTCAGCGCATTGAACATGGTGATGCGCTCGTCGCTCGAAACGAGTTATTTTCTTGAGTCGCTTTGTGTTTTTTTTCCCAGGACCGGAAATTTCGGTAAGAAAGGTTGAGAGCGGGTACTGAGGTATGTGGTGGCTATTTACTCGAGTGTTTGTCGTTGCGAGCATTCCATTCGTTCCTGCTTGGAGCAAGCTGTCATCCAAGGTCCCTCGTCAGCCTTGCAGATGATCCAAGCTTCTCTCCATACTAGTGGGGTCACTAAGTGGGGCGTTACTTTTAGCTTCCTCTAACTTCAGCCTCGTTCATCTCATTTTCATCACTGAACCCTCGACGGCTTTCTCGTATAAATCTCAACATGTGACATTGTCTCGATGGGTCTGACCAACTAGACTCTTAATCCATCGAAATCTCCCTGTTCTCAAAGGGAACTGGGCTTAGTATACCTTAACTTCATGCATCACCACCAAAATGAAGGCCGCCACCAGACTCCCCCTAACGGATGAGTGCCATCACTACAAGTCCAAGGCAGAAGTGCCTTGGGATCTCCAAAAGTAAGCCAGAACCCTCTCCTCGGGACAAAAAGCTATATTGCAACAGCAGCAGCTAACAAACATCTCTAGATACTTTTCCCAGCGCTACTCCCTCTTCTCCTGGTACGACGAGGGCGTCTACCTCACAGACAGCGCCTGGTTCGGCGTGACCCCGGAACCCGTCGCAAACACAGTCGCAAACGAAATGTACCACACCGACGCCTCAAAACGCGTCCTCGTCGACATATTCGGCGGCGCCGGCGGCAATACCATCGCCTTCGCCCTCTCGGCCCGTTGGGACCGCGTCATCTCCATCGAGCGCGACGCCGCGACCCTGGCGTGCGCCCAGCACAACGCAGAGCTGTACGAGGTCGCGGAGTACATCACCTGGATCCACGGGGACTGTTTCGACTACCTCCGCAAGCTGAGAGAGAGCCCCGAGGAGCTGAGCGAGGAGCTGAGGGTCGACATGGCCGAGACAGTGGTCTTTGCTTCGCCGCCTTGGGGTGGACCTGGGTACCGGACCGCCGAGGTGTTTGATCTCAGCAAAATGGAACCGTATAATCTGGAAGACCTGCACAAGGCCTGTAAACCCATGGATCATGCGCTATATCTCCCTCGAACAAGTGATCTCAGGCAGGTGGCGAAATTGGCCCCGGAGGGGGAGAAGCTCGAAGTAGTGCAGTATTGCATGGAGGGGGCGAGTAAGGCCATGGTGGCATTTATACCGGGAGCATTGAGTACAAAACAATCAAAACCTTAACGAAAATTTCTTCTTGTTCTAGCCCTTTCAACAAGGGCCACACTCTAACAAGCAAAACCTGCTTCTACAACGCCTTGACAACGCTACGTTCATCGAACAAATCCTTCAATAACCCCTGAACACAAAACTCCCGGTCTAGTGGTGCCATCGCGTACGTCGACTCGAAAGCGTAGATACTGAGCTGTCCAAAGAACGGCCGCAGGATCTTGCCAACGAGCTCGTCCTTTCTATCAATGCTGACTTCGTCATTGATGCCGCCAGGTCCAAGCAGTGGTCGTCTGTGGGAGCTGCTTGTGGCCAAGTGCGCCGCCGGATTGCTACCCAATGAAGAGCTGACACCCATAGTGCCAAGCTCCTCTGCAAGCTCGTCGACAAGTGCAACAGGTTGGTAGTTGCTAGACCGATACACAGCGTCGATGGTGTCCGTGACGAAGAGCCACTCATGAAGCTGGAAGTCATCCGGCGCAACGCAAATGAGCAGATCTAGCAACTTGCAAGCTTGTAGGATAGAGATGTTGTTGTAGGTATCAGATGCGGTGCTGTGATCGGCAGCCACGACAGAGGCGATGGCTGCATGAAGTTCGGCGTTGATAATCGGCCACAGCATAGCTAGGTGGATAGCACTGGTCTTCAATACAAGTGCGCGGACAAGCATGAAGATCTCCGCCCTCGTTGTAGAGGAAGGTGAAGACGTCGCCGTGGCGCCAAGAAGTTCCACTACTTTGTCAGTGATGATGGGAAGCTCTGTGACGAATGCGTCCTCTGTAGCTGCGAGGACTAGTGATGCAGTGCGACGAAGGTTGAGCTGCGTTCTCCGATCTGCCTCCAATCGAGCAGAAGTGGCACCAACACCAAAAACGATACCGGCCGTGGTGGGCGGAGTCATGCGGGCCAGAAGCTCAGGCATACGTTCCTTGTCACTGACGGTCCATTGTCTAAGCAACGGCAACCAGTCGCTTCGGACGAGCTCAATGCTCGAGCTGAAGAACCGGGCATCGTTGAACGCGTCCCCAACATCCTTCTTCCACGTCTTTTGGTTATTGGGCAGCCTGGACAGTTCTTGTAGTAAGACTAGTGTGTTCTTGGACACAGTATCAGGGAATGCCTTTGCTCTAAAGGCTGGATTGATGACGTTTGTTGAAATTGTACCGGCTGCGGACAGCACACGGTCCGTCTCGACTAGGATCTTGGGAAGGTTCGGCACGATTGATGCCAAGATTGCGACTACATCTTCGGCTCTATCGAGGACGCTGACCAGGGCAATCGTGGGGGCGCGGCGAACACCATCACGGTTCTTTTCCGACTTGTCGTTTGGTGCCGTATCTGAGAACGTCAGGGGCTTGGTTGTGAAAATCGCCGTTAGTAGTCGGAGGAACAGATCCTGACCTCTGTGTTAGTAGGTTCTCTATAGCAGGTGTTAGGGTAAATGATGCTTACCCCAAGCTCGCGTCTCATCTTCCGCTGCTCCCCGAAATTGGTGTTGTCAACCTTTTCGCCTAGGATAGCCGCGAACTCCAACAGACTTGGTAGCGTCTGTCTATGTGGGAAAGGGTTTGTGAGCAGATCACGCAGGAACGCCATGCAGTCAAGCCAGATCTCGTCCATTGCGTCGTCCTCCAGCGAGCGGGCATATTCAACCAGGAATGTGACGAGGTCAATGTCTTGGAGAGATGTTGTCAACGTTGATTTCCTTGAAGCGTCCAATGCCCCAGGGTTCGTTCTACTGTAGATAGCGTTGAATATGGCAGGGATGGTGTGCTTTGGTCGTGAACCATCTAATGCTGGTAAGAGGTTGAATACTTCTGACTGGGGTATAGGTGTCGTAATATTGATAGAGCCCCGCCAGATTTCGATCACTGTCTCGAGACACTCCAAGGTCTCTGCTGCGAAAAGGTGCTCTAGCAGTCGTCTCGCCCGGTTTCTCATTCGAAGAGATGTGTAGTTGAAAGACGAAACAGATGTCAAGTCCTGAGCATTGATATCGCCGCCTTGGCCCCAGGACCAAATAGTGAAGCAAATGCGAACAGCATCTGCAAATGCAAGGTGCACCGTGAGTCTATCGTTTGCGGTGGCACTTCGCGCTTGTGGGGCATCCGAGGTGAAGACACCGGATACCATGGTGCCAAAGAATCCCGATGGCTGCTGATCCGGACCCTTGACAACTTGCGTTCTGGCCTCTTCAATCAGAAGTCGCTCGTGTGCCCGGGCCAGTACTTGCTCCAATGCGTTGAGAAGCGAGATCAGTGTAGACTCGGGTGCATTCCGATCATCCTTCTTTGAAGTACCATTGTCTCGGAATATGGATTGTAAGTCACTGAAGGTGTTGGAGACTTGTCTACACAAAGTCTCCACAAGAGGAATGAGAACCTGGAAGATAGTATCGGAGTAGAACGGTAAGCATTCCGTCAAGAAGCTGACCCAGCTGTCGAGAACACTCCGACTGCTGGGAGAGCTTAAGCCAGCCTGGAGACACTTGAGTAAGTTGGGAGGCGGTGATGTTGGCTTGGTCTCGGACTGTGTCGATACTCTCAGGCTCTTGCTCGGTTCAAGACTCATCTTTCTCTTCTCCGATGACGGAGAAGCAGGTACATCGGAGATGATGATGTCTCGGAGTTTCAGTGCATCGAACACGACGTCCAGAAGAAGAACCTGAACATAGGGGTCGGGTCCAGCGAGCGATTGGAGAAGGCGCTCGATGAGAACATTCTCGAGATGGAGACTTCCTAGGGGCTCCGCATAGGGATTTAGGAGAATTTGGTGCATGACGGTTAAGGCATAGCGATGAAGTTGAGTTGCTCGGACTCGGATGTTTTCGTCTGCAGGTTCGTTGTTGCCAGCGATGCACCGTAGACAAACGTGGATAAATACCTCTTGCATTGAGATGTCGCCTTCATGACTAGCTGTTGCGAGTTACTTCCAGGTACCTTCAGTCAGGAATTTCTACTTACTCATCTGCGCGACATCTGGATGCCCGCCATCCACAGTGATCGTTGTAGAGGCTAAAACAGCCCAAATCACGTCTGGGGCCCAGCGGAAAACATTCGACAGCGTTCTCAGGTAGTAAAGGCAAAGGTCCAGATCGTCTTCAGCCGTGAAAGTCGTTGAATTGGTCGAAGTTGACGCCGCTCCAATTTTGTGGCTCGCTCTAAGGAACTCCAATGCAGAGAACTTCCTAACGAAAAGCAAGAAGAGTCTGTTGGTGTTAGTAAATACTTTAGGTCAACACCACTAAAGATTGGCAAACCTACTTATCGATACCGACCAAGCTATTCAGCCAACCCTTGACAGTCATGAACAATTGGGTTCGTTCATCCAAGAGGGCATCGAGCATGAGGAATAGAGGTCGCGTCAACATGACATCGTAGTTCTCTGACCCAGCCAGCCGGATCTGTGGAGGCTTCTCAGTCATGGGAGTTTTCGAACCTCGCCTTTCAGCACTGGAATCCTGTAATGTATGAGACCAAAGCACGCTGAACCTGCGGCCGGCATCCGCGGGACGTGATGCGAAGGACCCCTGAATGTCATTCTCGATAATGAGGCTGGCCAAGGCGGCTTCTATATCTCGATTTTGTGATGTAAGAGCAGTCTGAAGCTGCCACAGTGATCTGACGGTCTCGACGTGGTATTTTGGTTCTGACGCCGACAGAAACTCCCAAGCTTGTTTAACAAGTGGTGTGACGAGTTCGGTCAGATTTGGCACCTCTATGCGCTCTGCAGAGTAAAGATGGGCGGAGAGGTACAGAATCGAGTTGAAGGAGGTGAAAGACAATGTGCTCGTATGATTCAAACGCTCGTGAAGACAAGAGAGGAGGGACGTCGTGTCAAGCTGGTACGTAGTCGGCACTTTGAGTAGTAGAGCGGTCAAAATCCTGCCTTTGGCGCCTAGTTCGGACCCTGCCTCGGGGTTCTCCAATCCTTCGCAGACCAGCAAGCCAGACTTTTGCAACAGCAACTCTCCGACCTCAATAGGCGAGAGGGGAACGTGAACGGCATCGAGATTCCCTTGTTCGTCGACATAGAATGCCTTGATCCGTTTCAAAAGTTCGACAGCAGGAAGTGAGGCCAGAACATCGGCCTCCATTGTCCTCTTGGATTTGCTGCCATCTGAAGACGGGAAGACCCGATCCGGAATGAGGTCCAACACAGCTAGAGCGATGTGCAATGCCTCATCGGCAGTCTTTTGCGATGACTTCTTGGGAGAGTTCTGCTGTCTTTCTCGCGTGTCCTCTAGCATGCAGATAATCGAAAGAGCTGTAAGGGGCGCATGAATGGTAATCATCTCTTCCTCGCGGACATTGAAATTTGCCAGGATGAAATTGATCAAATCCAACTTGTCGAGCCGTTCTTTTTCTGCAAGGTTTCCTGGTCCTATAGCCTGTGCTAAGAGACTCACAATCTCGCCGTAAATCAAACCACTCTCGACACCATCAAAGAACACGCTGGCGCTGCGGAACACTTCGTTGAAGTCAGCTTTGCTGGGTGCATGGTCCCTGTACTGCCGAACGCTATTGACAATCGGAAGGAAAACCTCGGGAACTACCAGCCCGCCGATTTCCCATCGATCCATGAGCGACAAGCATATTCTGTAAGGTCTCGCTCTCTCTGCCGGGCTCGAATCGCGGTCAACATTGATCATGCTTAACAGCGCTCTGGTTAAAGGCTGAAGCCCATGATCTTCAAAGTAACTCGTCTTGGACGCAAAGTAGGAGTTGTGATGGTCCGTGGAAGATGGGGATTCGATACCGCTCTCACTTTCGCCGGGCCCAGGGTCCGGACCAAGGAACCATGCCCAGAGCCTCCGGTTGAGACTCATATCTCTTCTAATGACAACACCAGCTGCCGCACGCAGAAGTAGCTCCAAGTCACCTGGTTTGACATTCGTCTGCAACACCTTGGAGTGCAAGGGAAGGTGGGTGACCAATAGGTCTAGGAATCCTCGCTGGATCAGGAGTTGCTCGTCTGCAAGTCCCGCAGCAAAGCAACGTAGGAGCAATCCAGGTTCTGGAGAGGTAACCATTTGTGCGAGTTTTGCCGAATGCTCGTCTTCTTGGACGCCATTCTTGCCCGGCTTCCCTGGTAAAGAGGTTTCGCCTAATTTAGGCAGGTTCCTCACAAGGTATGCTAACGCCCCAGCTCTCCGACTTGACCCTGTGATAGAGGCCAAGAAGAAGCATTGCCAGAAGAAGTCATCTCCTGATGAATGTGGACCATCCAGTTCGTCGCTGCCTGCGGGTCGGATCGCGGTCTTGAAGCTCTCCATCAATCGCAACGTTCGTTCGAAGTCCTCGCTAGTCTCGTCCTCGAGGCCAGGTAAAAGAGCCAGAACAACGGATTTCATGGCTGGTCGAAGAGATCGGGGGTCTATGTCTAGAAAGTGGCGTTCAAGAATGTCGAGAAAGGGGGATCGGACAGACAGAGAGGCAAACGAAAGAGTCGACGCCAGGCCTGGGAAGTACAAGGGTAAATCCTTGGATAGTCCATCGGTGCCTATTGTTGCGAATATGTAGCTGTAGACTTCGAGTGCTTTTTGGTGCACGCCGGACGGGAGGGAGGGGTTGAGACATTGCGACAGGCGTTTCGCGACGATGGCTTTCGAAGGGATAGTCGTGACCGAGGGGTGTCGAGCTTGCAGTGCCTGATGATTACGATTAGTCTTCCGTCGTTTGAATAATCGGTTCGCCATCACGAAAAGGGGTCTTGCCTTGAGGAGGCGGTTCAGAAAGGAGATGTAGTCAGCCCATTCCTGTAGGGCCGTTTCAAACAGAGTAAGGGCCCTCTCAACACCGGAGGCGTATTTGCGGTAATGCTTGTCCTTGATCGGTGCTTCCTCTATATCACAGAATCAATACATGAATTCTTACCAAAGTCAAAGACAAAACGCTTACCAGCTCCGAGTTGGTTCCTCCATTGACGAGGAAGAGGAGACTCGCGGCCTGAGCTCTCTGGAGAGACAGACCGACGGCCAGAGCCAGGCTCAAGGGCCATGATTGCTGAGAATGGGCGTTGATTGAACGAGTGAGTACATCAGTCTGTTCTTCTGGTCTTGTAAGGACGGTATCGCATCGCTGCCTAGCCTTGGAAAATCAAGCTGGCGTAGGTAGTCGTCGCATGCAGTGATCGTGAACAGGGTTTAAAGAGCCCGGTGTTGCTTGAGCTCGAAAGGCTACCATGTCTCCTTCTAGACGACAGGTGTACAGTGGGGTGGCACCCTGAAAGCTCCCAAGCTTCCCATTGGGCAGACTAGTTTAGCGACCGTTCTCGCCTGACGAGGCTGGCACAACCCTCTCCATCAGCGCCGAGATAGGATAAAGCGCAACGTCATCAAGCATTGGATTTAGGGTGCACCTGGAAATTGTGGGCTCTTTGCATTCTGTCGCTTTTCCACCTTGATTGGACACTCCACCATTGAGCCTCACGATATGAGACACATCTTTCAACACTAGAGACAAAACTTCTGAAGGAACTTGGTGTAATGTACCCGGCCATGTACGTCAAGTAGGTCGTGTGCATGCAAAATAGCCTGGTCAGGAGTAAGTCCTTGCCATGATTTGGGTCTTTTTCATTCCAAGGATAAGGTACCTCAGCATTTTACCAAGTGCACAACCGCTTACAGCAAACGGCATCACTGTTATCTAGATAATCAACTACCAGTGTACCTATTGCATCTGCTGAGGTAAGCTGTCAAAGTCCGGAATATTTCCTCCGGCAAGGGAGTTTCCGCTCGGCCATGGGATTTGCAAATTCCCATGTTGCTCCCTGCTCTGGGAACATTTGGTCCAGCTCCAGTCCCAGGTCAGGCGAGCAAGTGGGCCGAGACAGGCTCTGATTAGCGGACCGTTCCCACTAAGGCACTTTACCAAGAGGCTGCCGCACCACTAGATCTCGGCGGCCCCTCCTACGCATCATCATCAGCAGGTCTGCGCTAACTTGGGACGATTTTCATCCTTAACCCGTCGGATCCCTCTCTCGCTCCTCTCCCAGTGCCGTCTTTAAACCTCACATACCAACCTACAACCTTACCTATACCCTAGGTGGGGTCTCGAATGCCAGCCATGGCGGCTTGAACCTGGTTTGCCGACCCAAGCTCTAGATAAACTCAAAACCACTCTACTTCTAGGTAGTCTGCAACATCGCCGCGATTCTTTCCACTTCCCGACCACCTAGCTGAAATGCTCCCGCCATCGCAATCATGGGCGAGGACCACGAAAACGGCCCCAGCGAGGAGCAACCTCCCCCTCTGCCACCACGGCCCTCGATGGAATCGAACGACTCGATAGATTCGAGAATGGCCATGGCAGCCGCGACTACCGCAATTACACCACTCGATATCCAGACCCTGTCTTTCCCAGATGGTTCGCGCGGCACTTTCTCGACCACAGGCAGTAGGGCCGCTTCGACCCCCGTGCAGTCCTCGAGTGGCCAAGCTACTCCAACTAGGACGCTGGGCGAAGGTGAAGATTCTATGAGTATCGCCAGCTTCTCCCCGACCTTGCGGCCGCCCAACGACATTGCGAGCCTGCTAATGGGCGAGTTCAACAAGAGAAGTCCGGCATGGAACCTTCTCAGGTCGCAGTCGGCAACAGTGCCACCCTTCGAAACCTTGAGGATGGACAACACAACCCGTAATCTGGCTGGTTTCGAGCACGAGTTCGACGACCTACCCGACGAGGCCGATGCGAGTTTCAAAGACGAAGACCGAGTCACCATGTGGAAGGCAAAATTGAAGCACTATATGATCCTTTCGTCGGCGGGCAAACCCATCTACAGTCGTCATGGAGACCTAGGACTGATCAACTCGTCCATGGGCGTCATTCAAACCCTCATATCCTTTTATGAAGGGGCCAAGAACCCCTTGTCTGGCTTCACCGCTGGAACCACGCGATTTGTTGTTGCAACGCAAGGCCCCCTCTACTTCGTAGCCATCAGTCGGCTCGGCGAAAGTGACTCACAGCTACGAGCGCAACTCGAAGCTCTATATATGCAGATCCTGTCGACACTGACCTTGCCCACGCTGAAGAACATTTTCGTCCATCGACCGTCGTCCGATCTTCGGAAACCACTCGAAGGGACTGAGCCCCTGATTTCGTCTCTTGCCGACAATTTCACGAAAGGTTCCCCGTCAGCACTGCTTGGTGCCTTGGAGTGTCTCAAGCTGCGCAAGTCTCAGAGACATGCCATCAACAACGCCTTCCTCAAGCAGAGGACAGACAAGCTTCTGTACGGCTTGATTGTGGCCGGTGGTAAGCTGGTCAGCGTTATTCGTCCGCGTCGCCACTCTCTGCACCCAAGCGACCTCCAACTCATCTTCAATATGCTGTTCGAATCGGGTGGGATCAAAGCCGGCGGCGGAGAAAATTGGATTCCTCTGTGCTTGCCGGCCTTCAACAATCGCGGCTACCTGTACATGTACGTCAGCTTCTTCGACGGTGTTGACGGCGAGCAAGCCACGGGGCAAGAGGCGCCGGTACACAAGGATGAAGAACTCGCCATCATCCTCATCAGCCCGGACAAGGAGTCCTTTTTTGAGCTCAAGCAAATGCGTGATAACGTTGCGGCTTCTCTGGCCAAGTCGGGCCATCTCTCTCTTATACAGACCGCCGCGCGTGCTGGCCGGCCAAAGACCACAGACATTGCTCCCGGTGGTCAAATATCGCACTTCCTCTACAAATCCCGCGCGAACGTGCAGTTTAGCATGTCCGCCCTCGACCCCGTATTCTCCTCCCTGATGGCCCGTCGCCGCCTCATGGGCCTATATCATCAACTACACGCTGCCGTCCACGCAAAGCACTCCCATATGCGCGTTCTACATTCCGTCTCCGAGGATGCTACTTCTTTAGCCTGGATCACACCAATATTCGAATTTTACTGCGTAGCTGGCCCCAACGTGAGCCGTGCCGTGCTCACCCAAGGCGCCAACAAAGTGATTCAGTGGGCCCGTCGCGAGGAGGAACGGGTCTTCATTATCGGCGGAGGCGTATTCTGATCCAGAGAAACCAGATGACCCCTTGAATATCAGGGTACAGGTCATATGCTTGGACTGATTAGCTATTAGCTATTAGCTATTAGAAATTACAAGAGCTGGCCCTCAGTGGCCATGCTGACTGAGAGAGAAAGATTCTCTCGACAAACTACTTGGGTATCAATACAAAGACGACTCTACAGTCAAAGCTATCTACATCGTCGTCCACCACGCCTCTGGGATCTTTGTAAGACGGACAGTCGCCAACGTCGAACGTGATTCACCCGCCGGTGTCGCTATCATATCAGCCTCGGTTTGATCCATGTCCCTCTTGCCCGAGTCCGCTTCCAACTTTTGTCCATTGGAGCCGCTCGACGACTCCTTGCCCACGGCAGCGGCGGCGGCAGCACCCAACTCTCTATCCTCTTGCCACTCAGCCCGCTCAACCGCAAACCCCAACTCATCGCCACAGATTCGACACCTCGCCCTCCTCTTGCCCTTCTTGTCCTCCTTCTCCTTGCCCTCCTTGCCGAAAAGCCGACGCAGCAAATCGACCGACCGCGCCGCGAACCCGGCCATCTTCCTCCTCCGTCGTCCGCGCTTCTGGCGGCACCCACCGCTCTGGTGGCACCACGGCACCTTGGGCAGTACCAGGAGCTCGTCCCTTTCAGCCTCTTCCTTCTCCTTCTTCGCCTTCTTCTCTTCTTTGCTCTTCTTTGGCTCGGGCGGGAACACTCCAACGGGATAAGTTAGCGTCGGTGGTGAAGGCCGTGGAGCTTCAGGTTGGAGAAAGATACCGGGAGCGTCGTAGCCCCCGTTATTCCTACCCCCACGTCCACCATTCACCCATCGAGCGTCGCCGCCCCATGGACCACCGGACAACAACGTCGCGGATTCCCTCTTCTTCTTATTCTCCTTGTTCATCTTCTTCTGCTGCTTCTCCATCTCCTTCTGCCGGGTCTCTCTCTCCTTCTTACGCCTCTCCATCTCCATCTCCTCGGCCTTCTTCTTCTCGTCCTCGGAGGGCGCGGTACTACTCTCCCCCTCCTCATCAAACTCCCTCACCAACTTGCGGACCGTCATCGTCATCTCAGTCTGCTCTTCACTACCACCTGACTCAGACGAATAAACCGATGACAATGCCTGCGGCGACACAGACAGAGACGTCTTGTTGTCGAGAGTTTCGTCCGCATCGGCAATATCGGTCATGACGCTATCCTTGCGCTCCACGGCGTCGTCCGAATCCACGCCATTGCGGGCGGGGCGGTCCTTGACAGCGTACTTTGGTCGATAGTCCAGGTGGAAGAGTTGGTCCCCGTCGAGACAAGTATAGTGCCCCGCCGCCGAAGACGACCGCGACGACGAGAGGTGTTGAGACGGATTCTCAAAGAAGGAAGGATGTTGGATGACCAGGGGGAGACGGTCTAGAGGTGACCTGAGGTTCTTCATCTCTGAGAGGGAGGAGATCATTGTTTGCTTTTTGTGGGGATTGGGTTGCGAGAGGCAGGGAAGGGAAGAGAAGGGAAATGATCAATGGAATGGTCCTGCTGGGCTACGGTGCAAGTGGAAATGTCGATAAAGCTTGGCAGAGCTTGGTGATGAAGTTCCCAGTGGAGCTGTCAGAGGAGCTGATGGTATCGGCCGGTGTAAGCTATAGGTGAAGCTGTCGATGGGACTTGGGAAGTCAAGCTCATGAAGCTATCGACGAAGGCAACAATGTAAATGTCGCTGAAGCTGTTGGAATTGATGAAGCTGGTGGAGCTACAGTCGAAGATACCGATGTACCTGATGGTAAAGCTGATGTGTCTATAGGTGTAGCTCTTGGTGAAACGAATGGTAATGTGTAGCGAATGTTCGAGTCTCGAGATGACTTTGTCGATTGGTATCACAATAGTTTCTAACGAATGTTGGTTGAACGAGCGGTATGGTGGAGTACCTTAACGAATGTACGATGGTCGCGCGGACAGTATGTACCGAGGAAACCTTCACAATAACAGATTCCCGTGGGGATAGCTCGGTTTTGTGACGGCCGGGTATGAAGCCATGAGAACCTTCATGGTCAATCAGCCCCTCCGTCATGTATCCCGTATATGGCCGTACATGATACGGTAAGGTGAGAATCATGATGCAAGCCCTCCAATTCTCGCTTAGCGCCTCCTGTTCACAACGAAATGTGTTAACTCAACTCGCATTTTATTGATTCTGTGAGTCTGGCCCTGATCTGATCAAGCCACTTCACGATGTCTCGTTCTCAACAAACCCGTCATCACCCATTACGTCCCAACCAATCGCATGTACCATCTACTCTAGCCCGGGGCCATCACTTCACTCATACTCCTCCAAAGAAACAGCCACAAGTCTTTTTCCCAAGAATCTCATGTTCTTGAGAATCAAAAGCAAGAAAAACACCCAATGACAATAAAAATGACTCCAACACTTTCTCCTTGACAGTTAAGAAATGGTTTCGCTTTCGCTTCGCCGGCCCTTGACACAGATGGAGACAGCTTGCCGGACCCATCTCTTCATCTTCCTTCGTACTTGCTTCGAATGACCCGGGGTAGCCGCAGCCCATTCACTATGAACAACTGTCGCGTCAGAGTTCTTCGGGCCGGTAAGACCGGTTGGTTGGGGTCGCCTGCCTTTGTGCTTGTTCACACGCTCTCGAAGGTTCAAACGTGACTTGGTGAGGCGAAGTCTGAGGTTTGACAGCTTTTTCTTGAGGATCCTCGGCCGGAAAAAAGTTAAATCAGAGCTGAAGCTTCGAGAATCGCTGAGGTCAAATCCATCAGTGGACGCACTCAACCTATAGAGGTTCGTGTCAACCGGGTGCGCTAACGGGATGTCGCGTTCATGCAGGTGCCCATCTTTGGAGTATCTGGCTGTTGGAGAGACACGGGCCGGTAGATTTTCCCCGTCACTTGGTGTGAGCTGGACAAATCGTCTTCCTTTTCGCCGGTAAGCCATGCTGCTTTGGCGTTCCTCATGACGCACTGGGGTCAATAGGTCCTTGGCCTGGTGAACCGGTAAGTCGGCAAGTATGCTTTGTTTGGCACTGGACCGTCGTCTGACTGTGCCAGTCTGGTCTTCTGGGATTGTGTCCACATCTAAGGCCAGTCGAGACGCTTTGAGTCGAAGTTTCCGCTTCGATGGGCTTGACACTACAGCCACTTTCATTTTCGGACTCGGTGCAACATGATCCGCCGGCTTCACTTCTCTCTTGGGTTGAACCACTTCGAGCTCAATGCTAGCTCGGAAAGACTCGTGGTCTTCCACATCGGAATGTGCAGTAATTCTAGGACTCGACCGTGGAGTTGCAAGGATTTCGAGCTGAAAGGGTGAAAACTTGACTGGAAATCGAAAATCATCCCCAGAAACCCCTGACACTCGTCTCAGTTGATGTTGCGCTTCCATGGGGAGGGACGGCAATGCCTTCATCAAGTGCGGTACACTGCTGCTTGTACTCAAGAAACGGGTCGTAGGAACTGGCGCCGGGGACAGTAGATGAATATCTGAATTGGAGGCTGGCGGTGCTGTATGACTTCGTAGACTTGCTGTACTGATTCGAGCAAGAGCTCGGTTTCTGCGATGGCCTCTGAAAAAAGGCCTCCACTGAAGGTCGGGATGGATTGCGCCATTCGCGACAGACTCATTCACCAGATTTCCCCCCTCCAGGGGTTGTTCACGCTCTATTTCAGCTTTGGGGTCTTTCGACTCGTCTATACCGGCCTCGTGAAGTCCGGTCGAGTCTTCATCCTTGCTCATGAACGGTGATTTGGCAATGCGCTCGAATGATGAGACCAGAGCCGCCAAGTCGGATAGACCGGGTTCAACCGAATGGCGTAAACTTGAGCGGAGAAGCGCCGCGAGGCCACTATGGGATGGGGCTCTTCTGGATAGCCGATCTCGATTTAGCAGCTCTGTCCGCGATGTACTTGGTTCATTGTGGCCTGAGATGGCCTCGTCCGCACTTTTGGAATGGGATTCAGACTTTTCTTCCGTTGCAACTTCCACAGCGAGATGGAAATTATCAGCGTTCGCTTTCATTGTATGGCCTTCATTCGCTTGCTCATACCCTAGAGAGGGATTGACATAGTCTTCCGCATCTTCTTCATCCTCGGTGTTGTTATTTCCTGTGTTTTGAGGCTTTGGAGTCGTTTGAGATCGCCGGAAAGCTGCAGTATCAACGGTCTGTGAGAACTGTGCAAACATGCTCGGATGATTATCAATGTCGACAGGGCGAGAAGCTGATGTCCCATCAACTTCGAACGGAAATTGTTCCAGCGTTGGAGGGGCGGGTTCGGAGTTCAACCGCTGTGAAGGTAACGTTTCGATGTCATTGGCGGGGTTTTTGGACAAGGCTCGACAGTCATCACCGGATGAGTCGCTTGAGTCTTTTACAGATATGTCGACGACAGCATCAAGACGAGCCTTCGTTTCGTCTCGAAGTACTAAGGCTCTAGTGAGGCTCGATGCTCGCTGCGGGATCGGAGCTAAAGGCAGCGCCAAGGTAGAATCCCGGGGATCTGTCTGGCGTTCCGGAGTTTCAAAAGCTTCGGTGTAGTCGTAGTAGAAAGATCCTGCAGGGCGAATTGTGCGTGACAAATTGGGTTCCGAGCTTGAGGGTGATCTGTAGTACATCTCAATGACCGAAGTCAGGCTTGAGGATCTTGCACTATGATCCGTGGATGGTCGTCGTTGTCTGCTCGCAAGCTCGTTACCCCGCGGGTTATGGTAACCACGATACCTAAGAGCGGATCCGGTTGGCGACACGAAAGAGTTGGAATACGGTAGAGACGGCGTGGATTGGTTGATGCCGCCGCGAAACGTGTTGGAGGGACCAAATCGTTGTGGTTGTGGAAAGGTTGGCTTATACGAGCCATGCACAGTCCTCTGGTAAGTGGTGAGCTCCTATTACTCTACGCTTTGTGGAGGGGTCAAGAATGCTTACATATGAGATTCGATCTATTTCGACCATCCTACTGTAGTCAACAAGTCCATTCTCCGTGAGAGCCGGCGAAGATGGCCGAACCCCGGGGCGTTTCAGTCGAGTCGGGTACGGAAACGGGGAGCGTGGTCGTTGCAAGATGCTGCTGCTCGAATGGCTTTGGAGAGTGCCAGATGACTTGTTACTGGACAATTTTCGAGAACCGCATGTGGTCAGAGAGTATGAACGCTGGTAAGTACCATCGACTTTGGGAGAAAGTGAGCTCGAGAAGGAGGATGGAGGGCCTTCTGAGCCATACATGGAGATGATTTCTGAATTGGTGTCTCTGTCAGAGCTGTTCCATCGGCGGCCGGCTCCAGAGATGGTCCGATGGCTGGCACGAGACTCAGATCTGAAGATTGCATTAACATCGAGTCCGGTCCGTGATCTTGCGCATTGGTGTGTTGTAGCCGCTGGAGCTATTGGCTTGATGCTGAAAATGCCTATGTCGCCTGTTTCCGTTGTGGTTTTGAGCATACTCTCGAGTGGACCGGGCGACGGAAGTAAACTAGCATTTTCGTTGACGCTTCTCAACGGTCGACGCGGCAGACCATATCCAATGGGCGGTCGAGCGTGGGACTTGTAGCTGCTGCGAAGCGAGCCATGGCTGGCGGAACGACGTTGAACGTGGATGTTCTCCATTCGTATAGACTTTGGCCACGTCGTGGCACGGGTAGATGGTAATATGAAGTATCTCTACTTAACGGACACAGCAAAATCGTCGGGCACTGAAAGAGAGACCCTAAAGAGTCGACATGAAGCTATGTTGAGGCCGGCAGGCTGGCATGGTTGGGCATTGTGTCGAGCAAACATTTTGGCAGAGTTGGCAGCGCAGTGGACAGCTGACCTTGACTCCTTCGTGAACTCGAAATGGGAAGGGACGACGATGTAATAGGGGCAAGTATGCTCCTCGGGTTCGCCACCGCAAAAGAGCAATTACCTCGTGATGATTTGAACTCATAAGGAAGGCACTCCTCCAAGTATGTCCCTCGCCTTGACTCATAGGAAACCTCTTCCCACAGTTAGGAATTTGTATGGAGGAACAGCAGCCCTTTGCTCAAAGCTGCAAGAAGGGAAGTCGCGCTCTCTGAGGACTGGACCAATATTTGAACATGATCGTGGCTAGTGAGATGAGATATTGAAAGGGAAAGCGATTTGAGGCTGCTGTTCGAGCCCATCTAGAACCACAGACCGTCTCTTGCCAATCCTGCGAGCAAACCTGCCGCCCAGTTGATGCCAAGACTTGTAAGAAGACAAAACTGACTCTAGACGCTTACAATATATATTCATCGTAATCCGTCATCCGTGCAGGTTGTGTAGGCGAAGCTATCAGACCTCAAGGACGAGAGACAAGCGACCAATCAGACTATGGACTGTGTATTCGTAGTTCGTATGCATCTAGATCCATGACAACCGAAGGGGTGATTGACAGTTGAGTCGCTGAAGCGGACAACTTTGAGGACACGATGACTTGATTGGCTTGCCA